TACGCCTCGGAAGCAAGAAAGATAGTATACCGGTGGTGTTTTAACTATTTATTTATTTTCAAAACTCCGTAGGAGTAATAAATAGTTAAAACAACGCAGAGAGCGTTCCTTTTCCGAATAACTCGGAGTCGATCAGACCTGCACGCAAAAACGGTACGAAATGGTTCCCACCGTTGTGTTGACAAGCGCATGTAGGAAAGAGGCCTGATTCTCATTTACCGCACAGGAGTATGCGTGGATGTTTCACCGTCTCCTTCTCCACCTTCGTCACCATCGCCGTCTCCTTCTTCATCTCCTTCTTCGTCCCCATCTTCGTCACCGTCTCCATCTCGGTCTCCATCTCCAACTTCCTCAACTTCCCCTAGCAATCCCCCACCTGTGGATTCTGGTGGTGGTGGTGATACCGCTGCTATTGCAGGTAATTTCCTTGTATAGCCATCACGTTCTTCCCTATATTCTGCTCACCGTTCTCTCTTCTCCTCCTTTCCCATTGTGTAGGTGGTGTTGCCGGCGGAGCAGCCCTGGTGGCCTTGGTTGGCCTTGGCGCCTTGGCCGTGGCTGGTGGATTCATCATAAAACGAGTTCTATTTAGGTGCGAATCATTGTACACAGTGCCAACAGACGATTCCTTACTAACATTCTTTAACGCATTTCTAGAACTGAGCCCCCAACCACTCAAGCCTCCGAGGTTACGGTCCAACCAGAAGCTGTCAATTACACCAATCCACTTGCCCAGGATGACGCTAGCGGTGTAAACCCTCTCTTTATTTCCTCAGTTTAAACGGAAAACCTAAGCACCCTCCACTGTCTTATACTTGTCCTCGTTGACAATACACTTGGTTCATAAAGTGTGATGCTCTTTGTCCACCTGCCACATGGTTGGGGTTCTCCGATTTTGGTTGGTACGAGGAAAGAAACTGTGCTGGTGCACGCGGTGTCCCAGACGGGTGCAAAACTGTACTTCTGCATGCGGGGTTCGCCGGGTTGCCAGGCCTTCCACCACTTGGAAATTTACTACATATAAGCAGATGAGATGGACGATGAGGAGCTTGATGAGGCCAAGGGGTGGCTGATGGAGCACGGCTACCTCGAGCTCGCCGTCCAGGATCGCCAGAAGATGTATTGTTGGACCGACAAGGCACATGGAACGTACTGCTACATTGCGGGGGAGGAGCACGAAGGGGGAGACCCAGAAGCGCGCGTTGATTGTTTTCTTTTGCCATAGTCACGAACGATCGTTGTATTCATCCGTTTCTCGCTCCTCACTCAACTCCCACAGACTCTCGAGGTCCATGTTGCGCTTCCGCATGTCGTCGGTGGACCAGTTGAAGTCGATGAGCACGGCCCGATGCTCGGGCGTCACCATGGTGTTGGCCTGGTGTATGTCGCGGTGGACGAATCCGGCGGCCTGGAGCAGCGCGACGGCCATCTCGACATCGGCCAGGATCCGAGCGGCGAAATCGTGCACGATCGGCTTTCTGGTGCGCCGCGCGTCGTCGACGATGCTCGAGCGGCACGCCGGCGATATACGACAGGACGGTGTACACGAACCATTGGCCATCGTGCACGAATTGTCCGTAGGCGATGAGCTCGGGGAACAGTCCGTCGCGACCCGCCATGGTGGCCAATATGCGATGCTCCATGTTGTACTCGGACACGACGTCGCGCTCGCACGGCAAGTAGTCGTGCTGCCTGATGTTGCATATCTTGACCACGACCACCCGCCCGTCCGATGCTTGGGCCAGGTGGGTGTGATCGTGACGCCTTCCAACCCGCGCGTCACGGGCAGCTGACGGGAAAGAATCGGAGAAGAAACGCAAGGCATCCGCATCACTAAATCGTGTGTATTCAGCTTCGCTTTCTCTGAGTTCCAGCGCCGCACATATATATACTCCAACAACCTGACTTGGGGTCGATGTGCATGCCTGCCCTCGATTGGTAGTGGAGGTAGCGCTAGTACATGTGATTGTACGGATCTGTGGGGTCGTCCCAGTCCCTACAAGGCCCACCGCATGCTCATCTGCGGCTGCAGCGAGTCATCCAAGTAGGGCATCTACGACGGCGCTGACGATATGCCCAGCAAGATTGGCATGCCCTTCTCGGTGGCAGTGCCCATCAGTTGTGCACGGCGCGAAGGACGGCATCGCTAGCGGGTAGTTCACGTTCGAGGCGCTCACGCAGTTGTCGATCGACGTTGCCATGTGCCCACTTTGCATGGTCAGTGTACTGCCTTGCTCAGTGGTGTACTTCTTGAGAGCCTCCCTGGTATAAAGCCCAGCTTCTTACTGGTTCCTTTTTGGTTGTGCGCGAGCGGAAGCCTCTTACATGCGGAAGACGCCGAACTGGGTCTGCGGGATGGGAGCGTTGCGGCAGGCGGCGAGGGTGAGGCCCAGCACGTTGCGGGTCTCGGCAGGGTCGATGATGCCGTCGTCCCACAGCCGCGCCGATGCGTAGTACGGGTGG